GGCTCTTTCTGTGTGAAAAACAGTTACTACGTCTATATATATTTTTAAATATAAAGGTAGTTGTAAAGCCAGGCCTGGTGGCATACCCTGATAGTCTAAGCTGAGACTTAAGCCAGAGATTCACTTAGGTTCACAACTTCAAGACCACCCTGAGCATGGTGAGATCCCTTGCCAACAGCAAGGACAGAGATGTAGCTCAAAGGTAAAGTACTTTCTAGCATGTGCAAGGTCCTAGGTTCAATGCCTAGTACAAAACAAACAAATAAAATCCAAACTATAACATATAAAACACAACCTTCTTTTTATTTATTTGGTTTTTCGAGACAGGGTTTCTCTGTGTAGCTTTGAAGCCTGTCCTGGAACTCACTCTGTAGACCAGGCTGGCCTTGAACTCACAGAGATCCACCTGCCTCTGCCTCCTGAGTGCTGGGATTAAAGGTGTACGCCACCACTGCCCCACACAACTTTTTATTAACCATGCAATTTTAAAGATTTTTTTTCCTCAGAAAGTGAGTAAATACGTAAGTGCTTCAAAATCCCATACTCTGTTTTTAAATAAGCCAATTACTGCCTGCTTCATTTAAATACTTAGTACATACTCTGTGTGTGTGTGTGTGTGTGTGTGTGTGTGTGCGTGCACACACACGCATCTGAGTAGAGAGGCCACAGGGCAACCTTTGATTTTTTTTTTCCTACATGTTTTTTGAGACAGGGTCTCTCACAGTCACCTAATCTACTAGACTAATCACCTGGCCAGAGAGCGCCAGGGCTCCACCTCCTCTGACTCCCCAGTTCTGACTCTGGGTTTATGAACATGTGCTTTATTTTGTGGGTTCTGGGGACTAACCCCAGGTCCTCAGGATTGCACAATAGGTACTTTACCCCCTGAGTCATCTCCCCAGTCTTTCAGTTATATTTAAAGGTAGGTTTTTGATGTTTTTAAAATGTCACCATGTAAATAATATATAAGTAATCCCTGTGAACTAAAATAATTATTAGTCAAAATGATTCAGTTCTGCTGGAATGTGGCAGGATGGTCCCAAGTTTGAAAACAACCTGGGCTACATAGTGAATGAGAGGCTAGCTTGGGCCACCCAGCAAGACCCTGCTTTGAAACAAAACAAAAACCAAAAAACAACGACTACACAACAAAAAAATTCCAAACCTAGCAGGTAACAGAACATTTGCTAGAGTGGCTTCCATTGCTCAAATTCCTCCTCTAGGGGAAACTTAAACAATGCCTACCCTAAGGTCCCCGCACCAAACCCAGATAGATACCTTCTGGGTTTACTCTGGAGAGCCAGTGAGTACATTGGGCTTACTTACAGAGCCGTGGGTGGGGGTTCCAGCCAGGAGCATGGGTGGCCGTAAAGCCGCCACCCTGGAAGGTCCACACCCAGCATAGATGACGACCATGTAGCTGCTGCGCTCCTATCCCTAGTCCTTCCCAGTTTATATACTTCTAGCGCTTCCCTGAGGCCACGTGCAATTAAGACAGAACTGGATACAGCTGGTTGGGAGGAGTGGCTAGATACTCAAGGGGGGGGGGGTCCCGTGACCCTCCCAGCCCCTCTATCAGGTCAATAGTCAACAAGTCCACCTGTAATGATCCTCTACAAGTGGGCACAGCTGAACTCAGGAAGACAGCGGCACTTTGTCTGAGAGAATAATCCTGTGTATAACACCTGCCCTACCACCTTCGCGTTTCCTGCATACATTTTCTATTTTCTTTCAGGAACACCAACTGTTTATAACTTCACAGCCATTTTCCATCATGCTGTAGATTTAGATTTTTGAAGAGATCGGGTTTTATTTTCTCAACCCAGAAACATAAATAAAGACATTTGGAGCTTTGAATCTGAGAAATGTCGCACAAAGACCGCCAAACTGACTTTGAGTCAACGGTTCACACAGTGACAGAGGGCACGGCACCAGACCTGTAGCCAGGATGCTGAGAGCATCAGGTGATGCCGCCCCATCTGCCTCTGATCTTGCAGGTGGTCTTGAGGAAGCTTATAGAAGGAAACAAACACCTGGACCCAAGAGCCCCTGGAGGTGTAAGGTGACACACGGGTCGGGGGATAGGGTTTTGGTCAGGTGGCACCCAAGGCAACTTAGGCTGCAGATGTCTTTGTCCTGTGCCTACTTAATTACTCTTTTTCTCTTCTCAAAGGATTCTAGGTTGTTCCAGGGGGAGGAACTTCTGTGGTTATAGAGCCAGCTGCCTCATGCCTTCCTTTCTAAGAATCCGAGAGACTTCGTAAGTAAACACAATAAATCTTCTGGCATGAGAACAGAGACACAGCCAATTTGGTGTCCCATTATCCACGCTATAGGATATGCATGCCAGGGGTACGATGATGGAGAACACTGAAAACTGAAACTTCAAATCTATCGGAACTTTTAACAAGTAGCAGGCTGTCTTGAGTTTCAAGCTCTCCCTCTGTGAACTCCTAATTCTGCAATTAGCAGATAGGAATAAAGAGAAGAAAAAGAAGAATGTTGGTGAGAGATCATCCTTGTTGGACACACACTTCTGAAAGGACTGTGCACCCCTGCTGGAAAAACTGTTCTAGGACCCACTTTTCCGTGGCTTATGGCAAGTCTCGGCAGTCCCACTTGAGGAACCAGGATGTCATTTTTGCGATAAATGCACAGAAAGATGGTCCATCAGTTACACGCTACTCCAAGGTGCTGTTTGGCTCAGAGACCCCTTTGGGACAGAATTTAAAGGACTGTTATGTGAATAGGTGGCCCCAGGAGAAAGCAGCCAGCCTCTGGGTTTCCCTCCACTTGCTACAACATTAGTAATATATCGCACCTTTTAGACCTGTCCATCCTAACCTCTCTCTTACCTTTTTATTTTTATTTATTTATTTATTTATTTATTTATTTATTTATTTGCATGTGGGGGCAGTAGGGTAGGGAGGTATGTCTGTCCCGGTGTGTATGTGGAAGTGAGCGAAGGAGACCTGGATGTTGAACCAGGTGGCTCATGCCTTTACCCACTGAGCCATCTTTCTGGTCCACGAGTCTTGATGCACACATCTGTCCACTGTTATTTTCAGTGACTCCATCTCACAGCTCCCATCTCCAGCAACCAACGAGCCCTGGGATGCAGGAAGGCTGAAATGGTATCCTTAGGGCAATCTAGATGCTCAACACATTCCCAGTGAACGTATCCAGACACGGTGGCATGGCTGCTGTTGAGGTTACATAAGAGACGACGCAAGAGGATTGCTTGAGCCCCAGAGCTTGGGGCTAGCCTGGACAACACAGCAAGACCCGGACCACCTCACCTTTTTGAAAGAGGGAAAGGAAAACAGCAACAAAGTCAGCCTGGTCTATTTAGATGAGTTCAAAATGTTTTCTCATCTTCACAGTCTCAAGGTATAATCAAAACCCTTTGCTTAAACACGTGGAGTAATTGGTCTGGGCCGTGGGCCGTGCTTGTAATACCAGCACATGGAGGCTGAGGCAAGAGGATTAGGAGTTCAAGGCTACCCTGGAACATGGTCTCACAAAAGCAGAAAACGAATTCAAACACTATGGTAAGTGAGCAATTGTGAGGTCTGCACACATCATTCTGGGAATTCTAGTGAAGCAGCCATGCCTACATCTGGAGGCCTTCACCTTGAATCCTCTTTGCAGGTTGTATTTGGGCTGTGTGTGTGTTTGGTTTTTTGTTTGTTTGTTTGCTTGTTTTGTTTTGAGGGATATGAGCAACCTTACCCATAAATACATATGGGTTTCCAAGCTGAAGGAACCTAGGATGAAAACTGAGTGAATGGGGCCTTGCACACGCCCCTACCCCCCTCCCCGAGACCCTCCCCCACCACACCCATTAGGTGTGGTGCCACCTGGGTGCAGGGTTCATAGCGGGGGAAGCCAGCAGAAGGCTGGAAGAGCATTCCTGCCAGCAGAGCCCTCCCCACCTGGACTTTGCCACAGGAGCAAAAGGCTCTTTCACCCTGCCCTCCCCCCTCTCTTCTGCCCTGACTCTGCCCCCCTTCCCCCTCCCCCCAGCACCGTGACCCGGTAAGAGAGTTCACCAGGTCAGGTCCCACAGACACGGAACAAAGGACATGCGGAACAGGTCCCGAGAGCCAACCTGGGTCTGTGTTCTGACCACTGTGCAACAGCCAGCACTAGGCTGTGTGGAGACACACTGAAGCAGGCACAGGAATGCGGAGGAACCAACAGAGCTGGTTCCTTGGGAAGGCCAGTATCATCACTCCTGGCGGGAACCAGGACCTTCTTGTTTTCTCAGCCCAAGGAGCTCTCTCTCTCTCTCTCTCTCTCTCTCTCTCTCTCTCTCTCAAAATCTGGTATTTGGAGTGTTATATTACATTGGTTTGCCCCCAGTCCTGACACATACGCCTTTCCCCCTCTTGCCGAGTATCACAAGCTTCTCTCAGTTGGAACTCAGCTTTGAAAGACACCTTGGGAAAGAGTCTCGAGGTACAAAGCAGCCAAGAACAAATAGTTGAGATTTTTAGCCTCTGGCTTGGAGAGAGATCATATCCCGTTCACCTATATAGACCCCACAGCACTGTGCAAAATATTTGTTGAATAAGCTAATCCAGTTGTGACAATATGGTAACCCCACTGGCTCCTAAAAGAAGCTGTTTACTAGATTATTCACATAGATGTCTATTTTGTAAACTTAAATTTTCATTTTCCTACCCCACCCCCATCATGTTTTCTGATTTGATTTTCCAGTTTTACCCTTTAGGTAGGGGATGAAAAGGCTACGTAATTGGAAAAGCTCACAGAATTGATTATTCTGTCTTTTTGGTTTAAAAAATGATAGGAGCTGGGGGCACTTGAATAATACACGGGGGGTCCAAGATTCTACCCCCAGAGAAAGGGAGAGATGGAAAAGAGAAAGAAACTGATTTCAGCAACATAAAGTTAAACCACAGAGAAACAAAAAGATCTGACAATCATCGAACCCATTGTGTAAAAACATTAGCAATAATCAGAAGGGTACAATATCATAAATTATAATGATCTGCTGGCCTTTTAATGCGAGAAAATAACCAGAAGAAACACAAAAATACTTTAAAAAAATACGGCATCATTGCCACTACACATGAAAATATTTCCATTAAAAAAGTCATCTCTGGTTGAACTTTGAACTTTTCAGCCCTCTTTGGATTTACATTCGGTGACCTGCACATTCTGCTGGGATTTGCAGAGTCGTCACTCTGTGATTTCGGCCAGGGACCTGCACTGATCCGTCTTCCTGAGAACTGAACGGGACACTTCCTGTTAGACATTCAGTACTTCGAGGCTAATATTTAATCTTGATTGGCAAGAAGTTTAGTGCAAATGACGTCATACTTAGCAGCCTGACACAGTTCTGATGGTGTTAACCCTTCCCACTTCCCCAGAAAGACCCCAGCTTTCTCTTTTCCCGAGTGTCAGCTTTGACCTTGGAACCTATTGGAAGCTGTCAGAGATGATTCTGTTTGCTACCCGGGGAGTTTCCCTTCAGGGTGAAGAGTTTCACTCATCACACAAATGAAGAACCAAACTGCTTTCGTACTTGGGCAGCTCACTTGGGGTTGGTACAAAAAACAAACATACACCACCAGCAAACAGGCAGGGCCTGAATGGAGTCATTTCTCCGGAGAGTGGAGTCAAGGTCATCCTTGATCTCTCCTATCTGCCTCTCTGATCGCTGGCAAAGGTACCCAGAGAAGAGAGTCATCAGTTTACACCAAGCAACCATAGATGCTGTTCACAGGAAGGCTCGGGCACAGGGCTGAGGAAATCTCTTCAATCAAATTCAACACTCTCCAGTAACTATTTTATTTCATTGGTTGGAATGCCAAAAGGCACATAAAGAAAATGAAGGGAAGCCATCTGACTTCAAACCTGGTGCTCTCCACTCAGCCAAGATTGATTCTGGAGATGAATAGAAGCCAGAGCTTCCAGCCTGGGAAGCATGTGAGCTCTGTCAGTTCCACGAACCGCCTCTCTGACGCATCTGTTCCCATTCTAGTAAGGCCTGGCACTGCCGCAGAGAACACCGTGCCTTCCTGTGCTCAGACCCTTGGCTGCTTCAGGAGAGGGGGACCCTTCCTGGGCTTGAGTGCCTGGCTCTGCTTTTGTCTACATTTCACAGCCCAAACAGATGAGCCTTCAAGAAGTTGAGATGACCCTTGAGGACACCATTTCACTGGTCCTTTCTCTTCACCAACTCCTAGAAGTTTGTGTTTCCGCTGGGTTCTCTCACCTACTTAGTAGCTTGGGTGGGTGGGTGGGGGACACTGCCTTCTGGAGAGAGGATCCCACCTCAGTCACTGTACTCTTCTTTCTCCTTCGGGGTGTGGAATTTCTCATATTGGCTGGCCAACTTCCATTTGTTGTGCTGAGTTTTGAGCAAAGCAGCCAAGGAAGACTTCCGGGTGACATTTCTAGACATTTCCCGGCTCTTGACTTTCCTGGCTGGGGAGGAGCTTTGTACTAGGGGATATACAGGGAAGATGGGTTTGCCCCGGGGTGCACCCAGGAGCTGCCATGTTTCCCCAGTAGCATTACTGTTCAGATACTGCCATGGCTTCTTGCCGTTGTAGTCCCGAACATTCACCCGAGAAGCCAACCTTTGCACTAGCAATTTGATGACTCCCTGGTGGCCGTGAATAGCTGCGAGGTGCAGTGGTGTATAGCCACAACTGGACCTCACGTTTACATCTAGTGCAACCCCTGCCTTCTGGGCTCCAGAGATCAAGTCCTGAAGGGCACGCAGGTCACCATGCTTTGCTAGCCAGTGCAAGGCTGTGAACCCGGTCAGGAAGTCTCTGTGCAAAGCCAACTGGGGATCTTCCCAGAACAAAGTCTGCACGTGAAGCCAGGAGCCACTGGCAAGCCTCACAATCCATTCATGTTCTCTGGCATCTAGAGGGACAAGGGGTGACCTGTGCTCAGAAAGCCTGTGGGGTGTCAAGGCTGCAGATCCATCCCTGTTGGGGGCCCATGAGGTGTGTGGCTGACCTGCCACAACATTAGCATCTGCCAAATTCTGTATCAAAACCATATCCACCCTTGGGCTGGGCATGGTTCCTGCCTTGGAAGGTTTCCTGGACCGAGGTGGGCGCCGGCTCCTTTTCAACAAGTCTTCATCAAGATGCTCCTCATCAGAGGACGAGGAGGATTTGGTTCCCCCAGCACGGGCGCTCCTCCTGAGAGACCTCCGGAACTTGGGGGCTGGCCAGGGCGAAGCCTCCTGGGGGTGGTCTCCAAGGCTTTTAGCTACCGTTGAGACCTTCCTAGAATTGGGCACATTCCCTTTAATTCTGAGGCTCCGCCGGATCCGTCTGGGGCTGCTGTCATTTGAAGACACAGACAGGCCCTCAATAGGATCCCTGAGCTCTCCCCAAGAGGAAGTTCCCAGGACAGGTTGCTGCCCCTCTTCGGGGGTTCCGGGCGACTCTTTGGGTCCACTGCTGCTCTCCTCGCTGCCGTGGCTCTCTTGATCCACAAAGTCATCCAGATCCTGGAGGGACAGCTGACAGCGAATGCTTCGAAAGACAGTGGGTGGAAGGTTCCCGGGCCAGGATTCTGAGGACTCATCAGGAACCACAGGCAGGAGAGAATGAAGAGACACTGCGGGCTCTGGCAGCCCAGAGTTTGTCTCCGAGACCCCAAAGGCGGTTTCCAAGGGTAGCTGGAGGAAGTCGTCTGGCACCACCGACCAGGCGCGAGTGGGGCCGGGGTTCCCGGCCTCAGGCATCTGCGGGCATCTGCTTACCCACTCTCGAGTGCGCTGCTGCTGCTGCTGCTGCTGCTGCAGCTGCTGGGTAGGATGGGTCGGGGAGCCGGCGGTAAACAGCTCCAGCGGCTCACTGGAGGGAGCCGGGAGGGGCAGGAGAGCGGGCGGGGACGTCGGGCTCCCAGCAGCCTCGATGGCGGCCGGAGGCCAGTCAGGCGTTGCACACACCGGCGCTCGCTCAGCCGACGCTCCTTCCCGCAGCCACCCGGGAGCTCCGAGGCCATCGGGGGCGGTCGCGGCGACGAGCTCTGGCTCCTCACTGGCGGCCGCAGGGTCCTCGAGATCTCCGGGCAGATGCTGTCCGGTGGGGTCCCCCCAGCCATTCTGTTGGCATTCCCAGCAGCAGCGGCCCCGTGTCTCCGCAGCCGCACACCTGCCTCTGGTCTGAGCAGCCGCGGGCCCCGGGGTCCCCCGGCTCGGGCTGTCCCTGGGGCCGTGCTCGGCCCCGGCCGCCTCCCGCGCGCTGCTGCCGGCTAGCTCATCGCCACCCGAGTCCACCCGGGGCGCAGCACCTGCCGGCGGCGGCTTCTGCGCCTCCGGGTCCCGCGGGCGGTGGCGGCCCGGCTGCGGTCTCTCTGCGGGGGTGGGTCGCTGCAGGCCCTCCTCCCCCAGCAGGTCCCTGTACCTCCGCTTGAGCACCACGTACTTGGTGCCGTCGGGGTCCTGGCGCACTGCGGCCACCGAGTTCACGAAGCCCTTGAAGAGCTCCCGACGCTGCTGCAGCTGCCCGGGGGGCACGTGAGGGTCGCGCAGGAAGCCCTTGAAGTGGCTCAACAGCTCGGCGTTACGCACTCGGCCCCCGGCCTGGCACAGAAAGTCCAGCAGGGCCTCCTGGCTCAGCTCCCCGGCCATCGCTACCGGGTCCCAGGTGCCCGGGGCGGCTGCGTCTCGAGCTCCCAGAGCACTCCCCCTCCGACAGAAACCCGGACCTGGCGAGTGTCACCTGCGCCCGGGGCGGCGCCACCCGCCTCCATCAGCCGCGGAGACCGGCGCCGCCCGCATCCCCGGAGCGCTCCGGGAGGGCCGAGGGTCCCCGGGGGCGGGTGCCCGGGCTGAGTCCCCGCGCGCAGCCCCGGTGGCAGAGGGCGGCTCCCGGGCCGCCCCCGAGCGACGCTGGCCTGTGGCAGCTAGTCCCCGCCGCGAAAGTTCCCGGGATAGGTCGGAGTCGGTTTCACCTGCGCGCTGGCTACGCCTCTCCGGCTCTGGGGGAAGGGCCCGGGCCGCCTCCTGCACCTCCGCCCTCTGAGGTGTCCCCCCACCCCCGCCACCCATCCTGGGTGAGTCAGGCTGGTCCAGATGGGGACAGCGCGGGGAGGTGAGGCCCGGGGCGAACGGCTCTATAGGACGCACTGCCTCCCCCCCCCCGCCCCCCGGGCCCGGAAAGTGCAAGGCAGGTAGGTGACCGGTTGTCCCTCGGAGTGCCCGCCACTCGGGAAACAAAAGCCATGGGAGGTCGGCTCTCTACCCCGCGGCACAAGTTACAGCCAAAGTCCACGCGAGTGGGGGGCCAACAGACAGGCTCTCCACTGTTTCTCTTTATTAATGGGGAGTGGCTTGGGGTTCCCAGTGGCAGGATTGGGACCCGGAAACTCCACCTTGACAATCTTTTTTTGGTTTGGAGATACCGAGATACTGGGAAGGCCTCTCCGGGGCACCGGCTTCAAGGAGTTCAAATATACCTCTCTAAGTCTGTGCTGAGAGCCAAGTCCCTGAAAGCTACAGCCCAAGGTTGGTTTCTGCCTTGCTTTTTCCTGCATTGTCTTACAGTTACGGCTCAGGGGTTGGGGGATGATTCACTGTCAGGGAGTTTATTGCTTGGGAAGTCAAAATCAATAGGAATTGTCTCCCCAGCTAAGGTATATGATACCCAGGGCTGTTTTGTTTTTATTTAGTCTAAGATTTGTGAACAGAAGAGATTCGTTCCATCTGTTTCAGGCTGGCTTCTTGGTGAAATCATTGCTCTGAGCGTGGATTTCCTCCGTTTAAAATGTTGAACACGTGACAAGGGTCTGATTCCACCCCAGGGTGGGTGCTGGACTCTCTTGATCTGTTGAAGGGCTGTGTAGTTCACCCTGATCCAGAGCCCCTTCTAGAGTGGAACTAAGTTTTTCCTTAACCACTTCTGAGGAGGGGAGAGATAACGTTCAGCCCACTTTCTCCATAACAGCTGCCACTGTCCTCCACCTCTGTCTGCCTGGGTGCCTCTCCTTTGTCTTGAGTCCGTTTGCATGCTGTGCTTTATCTACAGTATCTGTTGTAGCATCAAACCCCCCCCCCCCCTTAGCTAGGCTTGCTCCGGCCCTCCCCACCTTTCCCCAACTGCCAGCGCAAATGCCTGTGTCTCGGCATCCTCTCAGGACACCCACGTGTCTAGGGATAAACTCTCCTCCCCTGGCATCTGACGCCCTGTCTCCTGTTCTCATTTTTTACTTTGCTTTGCAGTTCTGGATTTTTCACTAAGACTATATCGAGTATGTTGGTCCTACAATTGTCAACACGTTTTAATATGGACACCCTCTATCCCCCAACCCCAGCACTGGGGATCGAACCCAGGGCCTCATTTGTGCTAGGTACTGTCACTACCACAGACCAATCTCAGTGATTGTCAGATAGGCCACATCTGAAGTGCTTTATTTAAAATCCCAACACTATCCTAGTACTTTTCCACGAATGACTCGGAATCATTGGCTTTAAATTATCTAGGTCAGAAAGAAGGACTGTCTATTTGGGGCATTTTCTAGAACTGAAATCCAGTAGTGGGTTGACATGGAGAAACTGTTCCCTCTCATGTCTCCATATAACTTTGAGGCCTTATAGTAGTTATTAAAACAAATGTTTTCTGTTAAATTTCGGCTCTCTTTTGTATTTATTTACTGGTGTTGAGTCTCAGTGGGATTCACAGGTGTGGGAGGGGGTCCAAATGGGAACCTCAGGTGAGTAAGTCAGAAGAACCCCTCTTTAGTGCCTTGCACAAGTATATGTGTTGAGTTGCCCAAGTAGCCAAGAGGTAGAATGGGGGTCTCGACTTGCAGTTCTTTAAGAGAGAAGGGGGGGGGGGGGCAGATGCCGAAGTTCTGACACCATTGCCTTCAGTTGGGGGTAGAATTACTGGGTCTGCGATTGTTTTGGTTTCTGGATACCCAGGTGGTTTAGTGGCTTCTTGTTTGTCTTGGGGGTGGCTAGCTGGAAGGTTCTACATCGTATATATAAGGGCACCTTCTTGCTTTCCTCACATTTAGTTCGTTATTTCCAAAGGTATTTTTTTGGCTACATGGCTGCGCATTGTTAGACATGGGTATATATAAAGAAGGATGTGTGTTAGAGAACTCTGTGTTGCTATCAAAAGACCAGAGAAATGACATGAGTTTGCATGCTACCTGATTTAGGAGCAGCACACACCACCAGCTGAGGTCCAGGGGGTACATGAAGGAAGAGCTCAGGCTCAGCTCTTGCATTAAAAAAGAGTAATGGAGACCTTTAAGACAGAAGACACTTCTGGGCAGAGGACTCTGGCTTCACTTAAATATTTTGGGGAACTAGCTGCAAATATAACTGCTTGGCTTTAAGGTAGAGGGGTGCAGCTGTGTAGGAAGGTGGGAGCCAGAGGAAGGAGGGCTAGGGAGAGGGGAGAGAGAGTGTTCTCCCCAAGGCAGAGTCTTTTAAGAATTTCCCAGAGAGTCACAACCAGATCAGATTTGTTCTTTAGAAAGAGCTGGAGGTAAATATTAATTTAGAATTATGGGTAAAAAGAATATGTATCAGAATGAGTAAAAAAGGACACAATGCAGAGCTGAATTTAACCAAATCTAAGACTGCATCAGAGATATTAAAATGTAAAAAAGAAGTACCTCTTAAAATATAGGAATTTCAAAATAAATAAATACATAAGCCTGGTGTATGCTTTTAATCCTAGCACTCAGAAAGAAGAAGTAAATGGATCTCTGTGAATTAATTCCAGGCCAGCCTGGAATGCATAGCAGAATTTTAGACCTGCTGGGGTTACATAGTGAGATCTTATCACACATACACACACAAAAAGAGGAATTGCAGGGTATTTAAAAAAATATCTCTTTAAAGAAAAAAATATGAGTCAGGTAGTGGTGGTGCACGCCTTTAATCCCAGCACTCAGGAGGCAGAGGCAGATGGATCTCTGAGTTTGAGGTCAGTTGGTCTACAGAGTGAGTTCCAGGATAGCCAGGGCTACACAGAGAAACCCTGTCTCGAGGGGGGAAAAAAAAGGAAGGAAGGGAGGAAGGAAGGAAAAAAAAAATATAAAAATATGCACCTGTATGTTGGGGGTCAGATTTGACATGTACCTGAGTGCATTGCAACTTTAATGTTTCATATTAGCTTAATAACCCTACAACTATTTGACTATAAGAATATGTGACTCTTTCATTTGAAAATGACACTTAAGGCCAGGCGGTGGTGGCACACGCCTTTAATCCCAGCACTCGGGAGGCAGAGCCAGGCGGATCTCTGTGAGTTCAAGGCCAGCCTGGGCTACCAAGTGAGTTCCAGGAAAGGCGCAAAGCTACACAGAGAAACCCTGTCTCGAAAAACCAAAAAAAAAAAATGACACTTAAGAACAAAGTAACAAGGCTGTATATGGTGGCGCACCTCTTTAAGGAGCAAGAGCAGGTCAACTGTGAGTTGAGACCATCCTGGGCTAAACAGTGAGACCACATCTCCAAAAGGAAAAAGAAGATGAGAGGGAGAGTAGGAAGGGGGAGGTTAAGCGTCCAGACACTGCTGAGATGCCCAGGAAAGAGGCAGCAGAAGCTGAGAACAGTGGACAGATGGATTCAAGAGATATTTAGAAGGTGAATTCAATAGGACCTGGCACCAGAGTCGACCAGGGGATGACGAACAAGCTGGGCAAGCTCTCGAGAAGCTGAGAGGTGGTTGGCATCGTCTCTCCGCTTAGAGAGAAAATAGAGAAAAGGTAGCTTGTGGAAATACATAAGGATGGATGTAAACTCAGCTCGGGGCATATTATTTTTGAAGGGCCATAAAAAATAGAAATATCTAGAAGATAGTTGGCAATATAAATGTGGGTATGACATTCACATCTATAAATGGTCATTTAAACCACAGGAGAGAAAAATGCTTCACAATGTATAGACAGGGGGGCGGGTGCAAGAGGCCGAAATGGCAATTCCCAGAGAGAAAGAGGAAGAGTCTCCTGTGGGGACCTGGAAGGGACCCCAAGAGAGAGGGACACCTGTGTCTCAGAAGAGCAGGAGCAGGAGGGACAGCTTTCTAGACACACTGCCAAGGCTGATAAGAAAGGAAATAGGACCAGAGCTGGCAGGTCCCTGTGGCTGATCTGGAACAGTGTCAGAACAGTGACAGAGACCGAAGGCAGATCATAGAAACCTGGGGGGTGGGGGGGAGGCGGCGGGGGCGAGGAATGGCCCACTTGCCCCTGGACCAAAGGAGAGGAGGCAGATTTAGATGTAGAGAACACCCTCAAAGCATGGAACTGAGCTTTTCTTCTTTTAGGACAGGATATACACGGTCTTGCGCATGTGCCAAGGGAAACAAGCCAAGGAAAGCTGTGTGAAGATCTAGAGCGGAGTGAATCATTGATACAGTAGAAACTGGGGGTGGCATTGGAGTCCAGAGTTCAGGGAGAGGAGGGAGCCATGCTCCCCCTGTTAGGGACAGAGGGAGGACAAGGGACTGAGCTCAATGGTAGAGCACTTGTCTGGCACACACAGAGCCTTTGGCTCCATCCCCAGCACTGGGAAGGGAAGAAAAGAGAAACAGAAGGGAAGTAGGTATTGCATTTGGGGGCTTGAGATGTCACTTAGTTGGTAGAATGCTTGCACAGCATGTGCAGGGAGGTTGACACCCAGCGCCATATAAGCCAGGCATAACCTTGGTATGACACATGCCTGTTAACACAGCACTGTGGAGGAGGTGGGGACAGGAGGATCAAAAAGTCAAAGTTATCCTCAGCTGCGTCAAGAGTTTGAGGTCAGCCTGGGCTACATAACCGAGTGGGGAGCACCTAACGGGAAGGGGCTCCTTGCTTTTATGTCTCTGCTCCTGCTCTGCCCCCCCCCACCTTTATTTATTTGTCCAGTATTTATTGAGGGTCTACCAGATGTGTGTAGTGGAGAACTGAGAGTGTAATGGTGAATCAAACAGGCAGAACCTTGATTCTCAGAAAACTTAGACCTCAGTGGGACAGAGAGTGGCAACAGACGTAAACTAAACAGGAAAGACCACGATTGGTAAGTGCTCAGATACAAAAGCCGGCTGATGTGATAAAGCAGCAAGCAAGGGTGAATGGGAAAGCTTGTCAGAGACTGGAAACAGGCAGAGCCCCCAGTGAGAGCAGAGCAGCTGGGAATGGGGAGGAGGGGGCTAGGAAGAGCACTCCCCGGCAGGCAGGTGCTGTGGGATGTTCTGTATGCCAAATGTTTTGCTCTGATTGGTTAGTAAATAAAACACTGATTGGCCAGTAGTCAGGCAGGAGGAAGTATAGGCGGGACAAGAAGGAGAAGAATTCTGGGAAATGGAAGGCTGAGTCAGAGACACTGCCAGCCGCCACGATGATGAACAGCATGTGAAGAGAAGATGCCGGTAAGCCACGAGCCACGTGGCAAGGTACAGATTTATAGAAATGGATTAATTTAAGCTGTAAGAACAGTTAGCAAGAAGCCTGGCACGGTCATACAGTTTGTAAGCAATATAAGTCTCTGTGTTTACTTAGGTCTGAGCAGCTGTGGGACTGGCGGGTGAGAGAGATTTGTCCTGACCGTGGGCCAGGCAGGAAAACTCTAGCTACAAATGGCGCCCAACGTGGGGCAAGAGTTTCCACCTAAAACCTGAGAAAAAAGATTCTAAAACGGAGCTAAAAACAGCTTCCTAATTGTCTCTTTCAAATGAGCAGCAGCCTGCCGGTTTGAGCTACTGGTGGATTCCTAGCGTGCGCGCTCGACCTGCCGCCATATGGTGGGAATGAGGCCTCTGCAAGTGGCACATTAAGCTGCATGGTGGATTTAGCCTTTGCTAGTACAAAACAAAAAAAGAGGTTTCTGGGTACACGCTGCTTGGATAAAAGCATAGACCCATGATAGCTCCCAGAGCTGGCGGAAAACGTACCACCGCCATGTTGGGAAGCTGAGGTGGGCGGAGCCAACAGCCATAGCGCTGGTTCAGTCTTACAAATGCTGCAGTTTAAAGCAATAGATTCACAATAAGACAGATTCAGATGTAATAGTTTACAATGTGTGTAAAATATACGTAGGCTTGAAAGAGACAAAAAAGGTGATATATACAGTTATAGAAACAAATACACAGTTTTAAAAAATAAAGTCTTTAAAGAGACAGTAAAATTAATATAAAAAATAAGCCACGTAAAGATGAATATTACACAGAGAATCTGGATTGTGTTGTCTTTGGGATTTTTAACTGCAGAAAAACATTTGATCGTAAAAGATATTGAGGCAGGCAGGCAGGCAGATCTGTGTCTCTGTCTCTAACCCTGTGTCTCTTTGCCCCCCAAGTCATATATACACACAGGGATGTACTCTCTTGCAATATGAGAGCTTAGACACTGGAAAGGACAGTATTGAGAGAGCCCCCCTCCCTCGGAGCCTTCCAGGGCATCTTTCCTTTCCTCTCCGGCCTGGGGAATGGCCTGCCTGCCTTAGCTTCTGTACCTTGTACTTGTACCGCTCCAATCTCTGGCTCCACTGTATTTCTTCACACCTCTGCCTCTGTGTCTTCCCTCTTCCGTCTCTTACAAGGACCTTTGTCTCTGGGGTGATGGCCCAGGCCACAATCCATGATGCTTTGATTACATCTGCTACCTTGACCTGTAAGGCATCAATGACAGGTTCTAGAAATCTTAACCTTTTGGAAGGCTGTCATCCAACCCATTAAATGGGAAAACAGAGAAGTTCAAGAATGCCTTCCCTTCTCTCTTGTTCCAGTCAGCTTGAATTTCCTTCATGATTTGACCCGGCTAGCACTGACTCAGGGGATCTACCCACACCCTCTGTCCCAGCGTTTTCTATCTTTAATGATATATTAGGCTTGCGGTATTGGCTGACTACAGGGTAAGAACTAACCATGGTTAGCAATATCTTAAGACTTGTTTGCTTTTGCATATTTTCTTTTTATAATTTATACTTCTGGTTGTATAATTCACATAACATTGGTTCATGTATTGGGCAGCTTTTTGTTGCTGTGATGAAAATACCTAAGAAAACAACGTAAGAGAGGAAAGAAAGGTTCATTTTTTGTTCATGGTTTCAGAGCGTTGGGTCCAGGGCTGCCTGGGCCTCTGGCTTTGGGCCTGAGGCAGGGCTGAAGGTCCAGGTGGAAAGCACATTATGGTGCAAATATGGTTATAACAAATAAAAATTTAATTTTAACAACTTCTTATCTTTATTGATTACATGGCAAGCACATGAATGTCACAGGCTTTCATTTTGAAATGAAGCTATGGGTGGTACTTATTAATCATCAACTAAACATGTTATTAAAATTTGGTATTTATATACTACAGTTGGCACATATCTGAGGAGAACTGAGGATACTAATTCAGCATGCTATTAATAAGTCTGGCAGCCCAAAAAATCCTTGGCAAACACACATAGGCACATAATTGGACTTCCCCCAAATTTCAAAGGCTAATTTCTTTTTTTTCATATAATATTTTTATTGTCTTGGAGAATTTCATACAATATATTTGGATCATACTCATCCCCTACCCCTTTCCTCCCCCTAACTCCTCACAGACTCATGCCCCATTCCTACCTCTCTTCCCCTCTTTTGAAATTGTTTCCCTTAAAAGCTAATTTCTTACCACATAGCAGCTATTAATTATATTGAGGTAGTTGAGGTATTGGCTACAGTTCTTATTGCTATATAATTATAAATGGATGTTAAGGTTTTTTTGTTTTTTGTTTTTTGTTTTTTTTTTCGAGACAGGGTTTCTCTATGTAGCTTTGCGCCTTTCCTGGAACTCGCTTTGGAGACCAGGCTGGCCTCGAACTCACAGAGATCCGCCTGGCTCTGCCTCCCGAGTGCTAGGATTAAAGGCGTGCGCCACCACCGCCCGGCTTTGTTTTGTTTTTTAATGAGGGTGGGCAGTGAGAAGGCTGAAGTGGGTAAAGCCACTTACTACCTGCTGACCTGAGTTCAATTCCCCAGACCTTCATAGTAAAAGGAAGGCAGTGATTCCCAAAAGTTTTCCTCTGGCCCATGCATTGTGCTTTGTAGGGAGTCACAGGGAAAATATGATCAGCAAACAGGGATACAAGCAAGACCGTCGAGAAGCTGCTGGCATTTGTACATGTACATACATCTGCTAGGACCTGGCTCCTCCAAGAGTGACAGGAACTACTGCTGACATTAAAATAGCAATCTCTTTCCCACAGAGCCACGGGCAGCCCAGAGTTGGTGTAGCCGCGATTGTCCTTGGCCCAGACTCCTGCCATTTTATATTCTAACTGTTCTCGAAGTGGGCTTTCCATGCAAGAGTCTAATTTGCTGTTGCGACATGGGCCATTGTATCCCACTCTGGCTGGTAGGGGGAAGGAAGGCAGAGAGGGGGACAAAACTGATGTCTGAAAGAAGTTGCATGTAGCCAGACACAGTGTTGCATGCTTATAATCTTGATGCCTGGGAGGCTGAGACAGGAAGATCATGATTTTTAGGCCGGACTAGACCACACACCAAGCTCTAGCATAGCCTGGAATGCAAAATAAGACCATGTCTCAAGTATATTAAGTATATGTGTGTGTTATATATAATATACATAGATATATATTTTTGTTTTAAATTTTATTTATTATTTTTGTGTGTGAAAGAGACAGATGAGTGTGTTTGTGCATGCATCTGTGTGCATGTGCATGCCTGCTTGTGCCATAGTGCATGTGCATGCTGATCAGAGGTCAACTTCATGCACGGTTCCCTCAGTCTCCCTTTACCTGTGTTCAGGGATCAAGCTGAGTCCCAGGGATTAAACTAGCGTTGTCAGGCTTGTGTGGCAAGGTACCAAGCCATCCTGCCAGTCCTGAAAGATACTATAAAAATAAATAAAAATGAAAAAGAGTTGCATACAATACTGCTGGTTCCATCCCAATATCCAGGGTGTAATCTCATGGCCACCTGTAGGTGGGAAGGAAGGTTGGGAAGAGAAACTCTTTGTTCTGAATAGGCATGCTTGCACTTAAAAACAAGAAGTGCATTATTTCAAAACTGGCTTTATCACCTGAAGCACCATAGGCCTTCTGGGCAGGGCAGGTCTTTATTGAATGACATCATCTTGAATATTTCAAGTCTTTTATCCCTCTAGGGCCCAGACATCTAAACACCAATCACGATCTCTCTGCCACAGTATCGACTCCTATACATTTATTTGTCCCATAGGGAGTGGCACTATCCTGGAAGTTTCTGTGGAAGGCATCTATCATCACATGCCCAGTGTGTCACTGTTTCGGGGAGACTCTCTGCAGCCACGTGCTGAGTCAGGCTTCTTGGGTGACCCTTCCCTTCCCCTCTTGTTACACAGATGAGAAACAGGTCAGTGTCTGACCCAGGCTAAGCCAAATAAAATCTTTTCCCAGGTTTTAAAAATCAGGACCAAGGAGAGAAGTTTTAGTTCACCTGTGAGATGGAAGACACTGTGTCATCAGAGCGTTGCTGGCGGGGAAGACGTTCTGATCCTTCGGAAAATGATGGGGCATCTCTTCAGAGACACCAGGTGGTACGGCAGCCGCACTCCTGGGTCTGTGCGTTAGTCAGCTAGTAAGGGTTAGTCAGCCAGTTAGGGCTAGTCAGCTAGTTAGTTAGGGTTTACTTTTTACTTTATATATTTAGTTGGCTTTGCATATTTATATGCGCATACATTTGTATACAGAATGTATACAGCTTTGTGTGCCCTGCTGGGTAAAGCAAGCTCAGATTCTCTGACTCTGAGTAAGTTCTCACTAGGAAACCTCTGTGGGCTCCCACAGTGCATTGTAATGTGTTTTGCCTGCAGGTATGTGTATGGGAGGGAGTCTGATCCCCTGGAACAGAGTTATAGACAGTTGTGAGCTGCCATGTGGGTGCTGGGAATTGAACCTGGGTCCTCTGGAAGAGCAGCCAGTACTCTTAACTGCTGAGACATCTCTCCAGGCCCCCATAACTTCAGTTTTTAAAATGTGAAATGCATCACACATGCTGTTTTGAATTGACAATTGAGTATTGAGGGTTTTTTTGTTGTTGTTTGTTTTGTTTTGTTTTCCAAGACAGGGTTTCTTTGTGTGGCCCTGGTTGTCCTAGAACTCACTCTGTAGTCCAGGCTGGCCTCGAACTCACAGAGATCCACCTGCCTCTGCCTCCCAAATGTTGGGAATAAAGATGGGGGCCACCACCACCTGAAAGAATATTGACTTTTTAGTGTTAAGCAGGTATATGTGTACCCATTGCCAAATGCATCATGTTCAGGGGGTCTTCACTGCTACTGCTATCATGTTCTTCCTACCCCTCAGGAGGCTTGACTGTGTGTGTGTGTGTGTGTGTGTGTGTGTGTGTGTGTGTGTGTGTGTGTGTGTGTAAAATATTTTTATTGATTATTGGGAATTTCACATCATGAACTTCAATCACATTCTTTCCCCAGTCCTCCCAGGTCCACGTCCTCACCTTTGTGACCTCCCCAAGAAGAAGAAAGAGGAGGAGGAGGAGGAGAAGGAGGAGGAGGAGGAGGAGGAGGAGGAACAGGGGGAAGAGAAGTGGGAGGAACAGGAGGAGGAGGAGCAGGAGGAGGAGGAGTGGGAGGAGGAGGAGAGAGTCTAATTTGTGTTGTCCATATGTTCCCTGGAGCATGGCCCAACTCCCAAGGCTAGCCCCTAAGCTCTATGTTATGATTTAACGAAAACCATCCATCTATATTTGCTCCTTGTCTCTGGTTCCTCCTAAAACCCTTGGAAACTCTGGAGTCTTTTGTCATTCCTCTGTGACCTCTGGAGTCAACAGGTGTGTCCTTTATCATTCCCACTGAGTCCCTTCCTGCCTTGTCTGACCTTGTGCCAACACAGTGACTCAGAACAGACTTCAGATGGACTCAGAGGAGCTGTCACACCAGGAAGGTTGAGAACGTAACTGGAGGGTTGGCGCTGTCGGCTGCTGAGAACGAGCTGCTGCCCTTGTCACTGCGGCGAAACACCCAACGACTTACGGGAGAGAGGACTTATTCTGGTGACAGTTTCAGGGGTACTGCTCCTCAGGTGAATGGATGTATCTGTCAGTCAGTAGAGTGGGGTGTATCTGTCAGTATAGTGGGGTGTATCTGTCAGTAGAGTGGGGTGTATCTCTCTGTAGAGTGGGGTGTATCAGTCAGTAGAGTGGGATGTATCTGTCAGTAGAGTGGGATGTATCTGTCAGTAGAATGGGGTGTATCTGTCAGTAATTGTGAGAGCCGCAGGTGGCATCTCCTCCTCACACTTTAGCAGACCAGAAAGCAAAGAAATGGACCAGAAGCAGAGTCAAGCCCAAGACCCATCCCCAGGGCCTAAGTCCACAGCTGGGTTCCTAGCCCCAGAGGTTCCATAACCTCCCAAACAGCAAGCACCTCCAGTCAAAGACCAAATGCCCCCAAACATGAGCCTGTGGGTGGCATTTCACAGTGGCATCATAGCACCCACTTCTACCTCTAGGGAGGGAAGAGGGGCCGAAGAATGAGTCCAGTCACATGGTTAGTAGTGAACTCCATTGAGCTTCCCAGTTGATGCCACGCAATGTGAGAGGGGTCATGCCACACACCTGGGGACAGAGCGGCCACCTCTCCTTCAGACTTCACCCAGATTGTCTGTTTCTAAAGCTGGGCATGGTGCACGGACCTGTTATCCCAGCAAAGGCCCGGGAATCAAGAGCTCAGGGCTAGCCTCCTCTATATAACATGTTTAAGTCTAGCCTAGGCTACAAGAGACCCTATCTCAAAATAGTAACAACAATAAGAAGACAACAATAAGAAAAACCAAAACAACAACAACACAAAACAAGCGTGCGGCTGTTTCTAACTTGTACCATTTACAATAGGTTGGTGCTAAGCCTTTGCTGGGTTCTGTGAGTTGAAGCAAGTCCTCAATTCTGAAGCGGAGTCTTGGGAACCCTGAACTGATAGCCACACTGGTTAGGAAGAGCCCTGGGTAAACCCCTGGGATTACCCATGCTGGTGTGCTGTGGGCTGAGTTCCAGATCTGCAGGGGCAAACTGCAGGTACTGTGAGAACCGAGTGTAACTGCTGGGTGCCCAGCTGGTGCTGAGGAAGTGCTGAAACACACTGGGGGTAGGGAGCACTCTCACATTGTGTGAAAACATTGTGAATACTACCAGCAAGAACGTAGACCTTGAATACCAACTAGAAGCAATTGTGTTACTAGAACACGTGAAGGGAGATTAACACAGTGCTTCTCAACCTATGGGGTTTCGACCCCTCTGGGAATTGACGAACCCTTTCACAGGGGTTATATATCAGATAGCCTGTATATCAGATATTACATTACTACTCATAACAGTAGCAAAATTACAGTTATGAAGTGGCAACACAAATAATTTTATGGTTGGGGGTCACCACAACATGAGGAACTGTATTAAAGGGCCTCAGCATTAGGAAGGTTGAGAGCCAGTGGATTCAAGTATTGACTTTTTAAAAGGTGTATTTATTTTATGTGTATGAGTGTCTTGCCTGCACAATTGTTGGTGAACCATGTGCAAACCTCAGCCTACAGTCTGGAGAGGATGTCCGACCCCCTGGAACTGGAATTATAGATGGGCTGTGAGCCACTCTGGTTGCTGGGAATTGAACTCAGGTCTTCTGCAAGAGCAGTAAGTGCTCTTAACCTCTGAGCCATCTCTCCAGCCCCAGTAGTGACATTCAGAATTATTTATTTATTTTGTGTGCAGGTGTGTGTGAGAGGAGTCCATCCTCTCCTTCCTCCATTCCTGGGGATCCAACTCAGGTCCTCAGGGTTGGCAACAGGCATCTTTTCCTCCTGAGCCTTCTCTCCTGACCTTGACAGTTATTTAGAGTTGTCCTTTTTTTCTCTGGCTTTTTGTTTTCTTTGAGACAGGTTTCCTCTGTGTGTCCTGGCTGTCCTGAAACTTGCTTTATAGCCCAGGCTGGCTTTGAACTCACAGAGATCTGCCTTCCAAGTGCTGGGATTAAAGGCGGGCTCCACCACTGCCAGGCTGAGCTAAGCCATTCTTCACTACACAAATGCTACAAGGTATACAATAAACAACAATGAAAACAAACAAAACCTCTCTCCTTATTGTTCTACTGACCCATCAAAGATGATGAATCTGGTTTACACAAAATTGTTTTGAGGTGTAGATCTGGCTGAAGGCTTTGCTAGTCACTTGAATTAGTGTTCTTCCATCTGGACCCAGCCTGCCGGGAAACTTGAAACCAAATAGCCACTGCTATGGAGTGACTAGACTTGGCCCTCTGAGAGTAACAAGTTATATTTCCTCCAACAGAAATTTTGTTTACATCGGTTCTTTTAGAGGAATTGATTGTTTCCACACTTGCCCCCACCCTCCTCTCCTACATGGTTGCCTGTTATTCAACTTACTGAATTTTGTTTCAGGCCAGGCTCCGACTGTACCCAGTTGAACTAAAAATCCAAGTGGAGGCATTCTTACTAAAGAATGTGCCACCACACTGAAACTAGATTGTTCTCAGACCTTTTTGAGACTCCAGGAGAGACATAATAAATAGCCATTTCTCAAAAAAAAAGACCAATTCCAGTTGACACATTTCCCCCTGCTCCAATCCTCACCCCTCCCCCTGATAAGGAGTTGAAATAAGCTGATAGGAAGCAATCGCTTGGCGGTGGTGGTTTTTCTATTACTTTGTTTCCCTGTTCCTGGTTAAAAGGAGAGTAACTTTAAACTAACCAACCCCGAGCTGGGGCTGTAGCTAGTTTGGTAGAATGCTTTGAGTAGCACACCCCAAGCCCTGGTTCTATCCCCAGCACCACATAAAACCATCTCTCTTGGCAAATGCTTGTAAGTCCAATATTCAAAGAGTGGAGGCAGGGGGATCAGAAACTAACCTCAGGTCTCAGCTGGAGCATCCCACACTGGGAGATGCAGGCCAGCCAGCTATGAGACCCTGTGTACAGGCTTTTTCTTTTAGGCCACCAACCAGCTCCCAAATCATGACACGGAGACTTTTATTATTAGTTTTAATGCTCGACCTAGCTTAGGCTCATTTCTGGCTAGCTCTTTTAACTTTTAACCTGTTTCTCTCTTCCTACCTTTTGCCTCAGAGCTTTTTACCTTTCTTTCACTATTCCTTGTGTCTGACTGGCCGGCTGTTGCCTGACTTCTTGTCCTCAGTGAGTCCCTCTTTCTCTCCTCCTTCCTTTCTCATTCCTTCCTGAGCCTCGATGTCTCCTATTTATTCTCTCTGCCCACTGGCCCTCCCTATCCTTTCTCCTGCCTAGCTATTGACCGGTCAGTTTTTTTATTAGACCAATCAGGTGCCTTAGGCAGACGAAGTGAAACAAGTGTAACACATCTTTACATAATTAAACAGATGCAGCATAAACAGAAGTAACACACCTCTCCACTGTTAAAGTAATATTCTGCAGCATAAACACATGTAGCACATCTTTGCCTAGTTAAAAGAATATTCCACAACAACCCTGTCTTTAAAAACGAACTAATCTTCTCTACTCTGCCCATCACATTGAACCATGTGCTCTACTTTAAGGAATGAAAGAATTACCAGATTCTAGAATCATAAGTCAAGCCATTTAAGATATGCAAGCCAAACTGTTTAATTTTGTCCTTTCAGACATCCTTCACTCCCACATAGAAAGGACATTAGAAAGTCATACCATGAATAACACAGTGGCAGAAATACTTTAAAGTCTTTAAAAAGACTTTTAGGGTACAATAAACAGTTAATTATAAGGAAATTACATCTCTCTAGGAACATGGAGAAAGGACTATTCTGCATCTTTAGGGCATGAGCAGTCAAAGGAAGGAAAACACTTAGATTTGGAAAACGACAAAAAGTCAAACCAACTCATGAGGCACAACATAGACTAAATATTTGCAAAGTGACCACTTTTAAATAGGTTTTTTTGTTTGGTTGTTTTGGTTTTTTTTTTTGGTTTTTCGAGACAGGGTTTCTCCATGTTGTTTTGGTACCTGTCCTGGATCTCGCTCTGTAGACCAGGCTGGCCTTGAACTCACAGAGATCCGCCTGGCTCTGCCTCCCAAGTGCTGGGATTAAAGGCGTGCGCCACCACCATCTGGCCTTTAAATAGGTTTTTCTTTTGTTTTGTTTTGTTTAAGATTTATTTATTTATCACGTATACAGCTTTCTGCTGCCATGTATCCCTGCATGCCAGAAGAGGGCATCCGATCTCATTACAGATGGTTGTGAGCCACTATGTGGTTGCTGGGAATTGAACTCAGGAACTCTGGAAGAGCAGTCAGTGCTCTTAGCCACTGAGCATCTCTCCAGTCCTAAATAGGTTTTTAAAACTACTTATTTTTTATTGTCTGTGTATGGGTGTTTTGTGTACACATTTGTGTACACATGTATGCCTGGTACCTGTGGAAGCCAGAAGAGGGTGTTAGAACCCCTGGAACTGGGGTTACAGATGACTGACAGTTGTAAGCCACCATGTAGGTGCTGGGATTGGAACCCAGGTCTTCTGGAAGAGCAGCCATCGCTCTTAATAAATGCTCCACCCCCAAGATAGGTTTTAAGAAGCTGAACCAGGTGTGGTGGTGCACAACTTTAATCCCAGCACTCAGGAATCAGGGGCAGGCAGAGGTCTGTGAATTCGAGGCCAGCCTGGTATATACTGAGTTCCAGGCCAGCCAGGGTTACACAGTGAGAAACTGTCTTAAAAAAAAACACAAAGCGAAGAAGCAGCTAAGGTGTAAGATACAGTGAGGGTGTGAGAGGACAGGGTCTTCCTTTTGAGGTCTGTTATATTTATTAAGGTATTTTGTTTATAGTTTGCTTGTTTGGGTCATGCTCTGCCCATTGCATTGGGAATTGAACACAGGGGCTTGTACAGATAAGAAAGTTCCTACCTCTGAGCCACATTCCCAACCCTAAACTTTTAATAGAAAGCTTGTTTTATCACTTGATTCAAGCAATAGTTTGTTTTATGGTTATTTCACATGGGAATATTAATGACTTCACTGATTTATTTCATCAAATCATAATTGGAAGGGCATAATGACATTTTTTTCTCATCTTAAAAGATTGTAATCAGTCTTATCATGCTAGGTCTTTGTTATAGACTTGCTTTTGTGCAAAAGATGGTATCATGCATTACCTTCCTAATATTTTAAAACTACATGAAACTGTTGATAACACCTCCAGAAAATTGTGAACATGAATAAAATTATGCAATTTTTAGCTTGCTAACTGAATAACACTTTAGTTCTCTAAAATGTTCCTAGAGCCTATAAGTAGTTCATTTATTTTTAATTGCTAATTCAATTTCTGCAGTAACAATTTTATTTAGGAAATGATTTCATAGGAGAAAGTAATAGGCAGCAAGAGGGAAAAAAACAAATATATAGTAATCTTTAAGATTCCATTAGATTCAGATTCAGATAGGGGCTGGAGAGGTGGCTTAGCAGTTAAGAGTACTGGCTGTTCTTCCAGAGGACCTGAGTTCAAATCCCAGGGCTCAAAGCTTACAACTGTCTGTGACTCCAGTTCCCAAGGGTTCATCCTCCTCTGGATTCCTTGGGCATCAGGTACACACTTGGTACACAGACATTCATGTAAGTAAAATGCCCATACACATAAAAAACAAAAAGATTTTATTAGTTACCGGGTTTGGGTGCTGTTCCTGTCCAGGGAATAAACTCAGCAGTGTCTGGTATAGACCTCAAATTTCCATGATGAATTCCATATTCTCCAGAGTGTCTAGGACAGTGACTCCAACATGTGGGTCATGACCTTTTTGGGGTCATATATTAGATAGCCTGCATGCCAGATATTTATGTAACAATTCATAACAGTAGCAAATTTACAGTTACGAAGTAGCAACAAACTAATTTTACGGCTGGGGGTCACCACAACATGAGAAACTGTACTGAAGGGTCACAGCATTCGGAAGGTTGAGATCCACTGCGCTAGGCCATTTGAGTGTTCTGACAGTGATGATGACCGTGGGGTGGGATCATGGACAGTGATGCCCAGTTCCACTGCTTACCAACTAGGCAACCTTTCTGAATTCCAGTTCCTTTAACTAATTAAGGGTTAATAATGTGATAGCAGATGACACCTGCTCCACAGCCCCTTAGCCTACTGCAGCTGTAGAAGACAGCTCCTGTATAAAGATATTTACTGGGTTGTAATAAGAGCAGTAGGGGTGAAAGAAAGAAGAAAGAAGGAACTGGGACCAGCCTCATATTGAACAAGGAAAATGAGATACATTTTAGTGTCCTCACACCGTGGACAGTTTGCCTCCACAAATACACTCTATGCAGAGCAATGGTTGATACCCTGCATGCACAAAAATTTCTGTTGCTCAAGAAATAAGTAAAACGGTCTTGAAAAACAAAACAAAATGCTGAAAATAGATTTTAGCAGGGTGGTGGTGGTAGTGGCGTATGCCTTTCATCACAGCACTTGGGAGGCAGATGCAGGAGGATCTCTGTGAGTTCGAGGCCAGCCTGGTCTACAGAGGGAGTTCCAGGACAGGCTCCAAAGCTACACAGAGAAACCCTGTCTTGAAAAACAAAAACAAAAAGAAAAGAAAAGAAAGAGGTAAAATACTCCCTCAGAGATAGGTAAATGATATAAACACGGAATTTACAAAGAAAATATGGGGCTGGGGAGATGGCTCAGTGGAAAAAGCATTTTCTATACAAGTGTGAGGACCAGTGTTTGAATCCCCAGAATCCACTTAAAAGTAGACAGGTATAGAGGCCATTCTAATCCCAGTGCTTGAGAGTCAGAGACACGGGATGTCAAAGGCAAGCCGGCCATTAGACTAGCTGGAACTGGTGTGCTCTGGATTCAGAGAGAGACCCTCTTCAACAACACAATGGACAGCAATCAAGGAAACCAACCAACCAACCACCTTAAACCTTGTCTGTTTGTCTGTGAGCCTAGCCTGTAATGGCTGAGTCATCTCTCCAGCCCCATCTCAAACCTTCAAAATGGAAATCATTTTTTTTGTCTGTAAAATGACAAAGATTAAAAATAAATAAATAAATAAATAAACTCAGTGCTGCCAAGCACAAAGCCTGAGCTACCTGGTTGGCTGGTAATAAAGGATTCTTAAGTTGCTCTTTTAAAAATACTTTATTTTTTATTATATGTGTAGAAGTTGTTTTACCTGCATGTACGTATGTGTACCGTGTGTGTGCACCACCCTAATAAGACAGGAGGGGACACTGGATCCCCTGGAACTGGAGTTACAGGTGGTTGTGAGCCATCATGTGGATGTCGGGAATGGAACCTAGGTCCTTTGCAAGAGCAATTTAGAACTCTTAACTGCTGAGCAATCTCCCCAGTGACTTCTTTTTCCTCTTACACAATGTATGAGTGTATTTATTTATATCCACGTGGGAGTGTGTATGGCATGGCATGCATGTGGAGGTCAGAAGACAACTTAGATGAATCTGTTCTCTCCATCCTCTCTGTGAGTCCTAGGGATTAAACTCAGATCATCAGGTTTAGCTCCAAAAGTGTCTTTACCCCCTGAGCCATCTTTCTGGCTGTCTTTCTATCTCAAGTTAGTCAGCTATTGAAAGATTTAAAAGGAAGTGCCACATATACCCTTAGTCTGTGTCTTAGTTAGGTTTTTATTGCTGTGAAGAGACACCATGACCACAGCAATGCTTATAAAGAAAACATTTAATTGGGGTGGCTTGCTTATAGTATCAGAGGTTTAGTCCATTATCATCATGGTGGGGAGCATGGTGGTGTGCAGGCGGACGTGGTGCTGGAGCTGAGAGTGCTACATCTTGTAGGCAACAGGAAGTTGACTGACTCTCACACTGAGTGAAGCTTGAGAAAAAGACCTCAAAGCCCGCCCCCATAGTGACACACTTCCTCCAACAAGGCCACACCTCCTAATAGCGTCACTCCCTTTGGAGGCCATTTTCTTTCAAACCACCAGTCAGAAAGGCTGTATAAGGAATGACCATTTCCACGACATCCTGGAGAAGGCACAACTCTAGGGTTTGTAAGGAGGTTTGTAGCTGTTTAGTACTTATGGAAGACTGGTGAGTGTAATACAAGGGAATCTGTTTTAGTATTGTGAAACTTCCACTGTAATCTATAATCAGATAATCAATTAACTATTAAAAAGCAGCGTAGCTCTGGACCCAGTTAAACTCATCAGGTTCCTTTTCTCAGGGAGACCTGGTATGCAGTGGCTGCCAGCAGCAGTCCCCTTGGGAATGCACGCAGCCTGTTGCTTGTACGGGTTCCCTAAGGAACCCTGAAGACCGTTTCTGGTGGATACTCGTGTCTCTGGTCTCACACTTTCTCTGGTTTAGGCTCCAGACAGGTAGGTGGGATGCCTTTGGAAGCCCAAGGCACAGTGGCGGAGTTTAAGTTCCCTGGCCAACTGACAGAAGAGTCCCATTTCAAAAAAGTGGGCTTCACCTAGGGTGATGCTCAGTACACTAGTCAAGTGTGGTGGTTTGACTAAGAATGGCCCCCATAGGCTTGTATATTTGAATGTTTAGTCACTGGGAAATAGAACTTTTTGATAGCATTAGAAGAGTTAGGAGGTGTGGCCTTTTGGAGGAAGTGTGTCCCTGGGGGTGGGCTTTGAGGTTTTCTTCTTTCTTTCTTTCTTTTTTTTTTTTTTTTTGCTTTGAGGTTTTCAAAAGCTCACACCCAGCCCAGTGTTTTTCTTTTTCTTTCTCTTAGCCTGTGGATCAGGACGTAGCTTCCTACTGCTTCTCCAGCACCACACCTGCCATGCCTGCTACCCTACTCCCTGACACGATGATAATGAACTGAGCCTCTGAAACTGTAAGCCAGCCCCAATTAAACGCTGGCTTCTGTAAGAGCTGCCTTGGTCATGGTGTCTCTTCACAGCAGTAGAACAGTGACTAAGACACCAAGAAACTGCTCATCCTGAATGGAACTGGATCAAATA